ATATCTGCAAAATCTCTTTACCTTTGCCATATATCATAACATAATCATGGGAGTGATAGCTTTACACTTTTGCCATGCTCTATTGACCAAAAGCAAATTACAGCTCCTGCCCGCACTCAGGGGGGATTGTACAAGGATGTGGGTCATTGGGGGTCACCCTACATTCCTGCCTACCACAGTGCCTTCTTTTGTAAGAGCATGTTTTAAAAGTGAGGATCTTTCTTTCTTTTTCTTTCTTTCTCTTTCTTCCTTCCTTCCTTCCTCCCTTCCTTCCTTCCTTCCTTCCTTCCTTCCTTCCTTCCTTCCTTTCTTTCTTTCTTTCTTTCTTTCTTTCTCTCTCTCTCTTTCTTTCTTTCTCTCTTTCTTTCTTTCAAGATTTTAAAAAAATGAGCCCTGGGTGTCACATGCCAGGCTAAGGAAAAGAACTTCTTTTGAACTTGGAGCTTTTACTTATTTCTACTTGGGGGACTAGCTGTACATAGTTATTAAGGGAATGGAAAGGATCCTAGAGTGAGTTATAATTAGAGAAGCCCACATCATCATTTTGAAACACTGTAAGAGCTTGCTAACTGGTCTCTTACCTGCTGGTCTTTACTCCCTCACATCTGCCTTGACTTGCCAAGGTGATCTTTTCAAATGCACATCCAACCCTGCCACTACCCTTCTTAAAATACTTGTGCTGGCTACTAGATGGAACCAAGCTCTCCATCCTCCTAGGAAGGGCTGCCATGATGTTTAGCTTCATGTCCCAACACAAGCTTCATGTGCCCTTCATTCACACTCAACTGAGGCAGTGGCAGGAGAGGCTGAGAGGAGGGGATGGATTTGAAAGGCATTGAGTAGGTAGAATTACCTGAGTATGGTGAAGGTGAAGATGAGGCTGCTCCATGCATGCAAATAGGAGTGCAGGTGCAGTAGCAAATGTAGGAGAGAAGAGTTAGTTTGAGGTCACTCTAGAATATCATCACACACCAAGGACTTGTTGCAGGCATGACCTCCACAGAGATGAGAATCCATGCAGCGTTAGGAAATTGTGGATTCACAAGAGAAGAGGGACAACAGAAGGACTCCCACCAGTGGTAGATTACAGAGGTGGGATAGTAAAGATGTTAGTTCATAGCTGAATGCAGTTTTCCACATTCCAGGAAGTACCCAGTAAAAACAATGACAGATAAAACATTGCTTTTCATTGTTTCTGTGGGCAACATTAATAGGACCTAATTTGGGGATGCCTAAAGAAAATATCAGGAAGAGAGGTTTCAAAGTTGTCCTGGTTATCTCAAATTAACTTTGTCTTTTCAAGTGTCTTTGGTCACTTGGCCTTACAAAATCTGGTTACAAATCTTGAAGTTCTTTTGTGTTTGTTTTGGACCGTATGGAAGTACCTAAGTTTTTCTTCTGCTGCTTTCTATTTCTTCTGGAGGGTGTTGGCCCAAAAATGTGTTTAAGCTGTCCTGGTCTGCCTTCCTGAGATGGGACACATGCCAGGGAGAGTGCACAAAATGGGATGCTGCTTCTCTTCTTGACGGAAGGTGGATTCTAATCTCCACTTACCTTTTTTCCTCTGTAACTAAGTAGAATCTACCATATCAATGCCCCGTCAGTTTCCAGCTCATGTGGTTCTTGTGATTCCTCCCGTGGCCATTTGAATGCTGTCATTGCTTTGGGCCTGCAGGCTAGTGCCAGCACTGCTGTGACAGCAGCCCGTGGAGTTCACACGCTGCTTGCTGGGCTGAGTTTGACTTCCTGCTGGTGCCAACACTGCTTCCCACCAAGTGTGCCCCGCTGGCATGACTCCTCACCAGGGGGCACCTCTGCCGGTTGCCCTCACTGCCTGTGACATGCATTCTCATTGGGCACACAAGGATACTTGCTGAAAGTCATTTGTACCCCTTGATTAACTGCTGAAGTTGTAGCCACTGTTTCAAAGCCCCTTCACTTTGGGAACATACCTTCTGGTAGGGAGTTGATAAAGCCCTCACAAAGAGCCAATAGGTAGAAGGAGGCACTGGTCCTGATGTGCTATACCTTCCCTGGTGAAGGAACTTTTTCTTTGGGAACTTGGTTATCTCATAAACTGGACACTAATGCATCAGGATTTCCCCTCCTCCTCCCTGGGAAACTGGGTCCAAGTCCTTTCAGTAGAGGTTATTGGGAGGTTGGTTGTAGGCCTACTCTTTGAGTCTAATTATCTTGGGCCTGAAAATGTCATGGGGATAGGTGAAAAGCCTCTTAAGTAAGCTTTCATGAGTTTAGGTCTTCCCCTTAGTGACAGGTCATCTGCTCATGTCCTCCAGAAGTGGTCATCTCTCATGGTGGGATCTATCTTCCTCCTACAATGTCCCAAGTTTCTTGGGACTCTGGCACATCCAGTCCTGACCTCTGTGTTAGTCTAGGTGATGCTAAATGATGGTGTGGTAACAATCCCCCAACCCTAAACACACACACCAAATCTCAGTAACTTCACACAATGGAGTTTTATTTGTCACTTGCACAGTCTCCATCTTGTGGCTATAGCATCTAAAACACATGTCTTCTGAATTAATTTCCTAGGACTCTCAAACAAGATACCATAAGCTAGGTGGGCTTAAAAAATAGAAATACATTCTCTCACAGTTGTGGAGACCGGAAGTCCAAAATCAAGGTGTCAGCAGGGCCATGTTCTGAAGGCTCTAGAGGAGGACCCTTCCTTGCTTCTTTCTAACTTCTGGTAGTTTCCATCAGTCCTTAGGGTCCCTTGGCTTGTAGATCCATCATTTCAATCTCTGCCTCTACCTTCACATAGCCATCTTCCCCATGTCTCTGTGTCTCAATTTCCTTCTTTTTATAAGAACACCAGTCCTTAGATTATGGCCCACCCTAATCAGCATGACCTCATATTGAGTTGATTATATCTGCAAAGATCTTATTTCCAAATAAGGTCACATTCACTGGTATCAGATGTTAGGACTTCAACATATTTTATGAGAGGGACACAATTCAACCCATAACACTGCAAAGTTGTGGCTAAGGAAAAGAGAGACAGAAGACATCCCATGGCTTTTAACAGTCTCATTTCAGAAGTGATACATGCTAGTTTTGTTCACGGCCCACTAGCTACAGCATGGCTCCAACATAACTGCAAGGGAAGATGGTAAATTTAGGGAAGCACATGGATATTTAGTGAGAATTACTGTCTCAGTCAAGTCTTTGACCAGCTCATTTCTTCTGATCCCAGAAGCCTCGGGAGCACACATGAGGCTGGATAGTTTCTGTGTAATGTGAAATATCTATCAAGGAACATCAAATGATCCTGCAAAACATATTGAAGGAATAGACTTAGAAAACTGAGCAAAGGAAAGAGAGGAAACAGTTATATAATCTGCAAAACTGTCCCATATTTGTTTGTCATCTTAATCCAGAGAATACAAAATGGTGGGCAACAAGTTGGATCTAGTCCATAGATGTTATTTGTGTGAACTACACAATGTTTAAGGAATGTGAACAAAATATCTAGATATCTTTCCTTGAACAATTGAAAGATATGACAACATCTGGGCCCATGTTTCCACAGAAAAAACCAGTAATAAGGATAACAGCCAAAGAAGGCCTGCTCCTTTTAGACAGTCCCATCTTTGCAGTTAACTCTGCTCCCCACCATTCCCTCTAGTATTGCCCACATTGAGGCTCAGTTTCAGTTCTCATTCATCTTTGTGATTTCACCATTGTTTTCATGTAGGAGAGATTTTTTCCCCCCTTATATTTTACTCTTTTTACCCACTTGATTTATCTGATTGGCCACTTCAGGCCAAGACTTGGACGCTGATTCCTGCTTTAGCCGTCTGCAAAGGAAACACTCCTCCTGTGTTTCCTTCACTCTCTCCACTACTGTGGTAACCCAACACTCTGACACTGACGTGTGGGTTTTCCACACCAAGCAATTTTGAGACACTGGCTGGATCTCCTACAGTTCAACTCAATTCAATTCAATTCTGACACTGTCTACCTAGAGATAGCATCCAATCCCACAGGTTATGGGCTCGGTCCCACGAAACTGCCCCATTGTGCATGCCTCAGATGCCAATCACAAGTTCAGATTGTCACTGTGCTTCTGATGGGCTATAAATCGAAGAGGTTCCTACCACCTCCTCCTCAGATTTGATTAATTTGCTAGAGTGGCTCACCAGAAACCAGGAGAACAGTTTACTTACTAGATTGCTTTTTTTTTTTTTAACATAAAAGGATATAATTTAGGAACAGCCAGACAGAAGAGATGCATAGGGCAAGGTATGGGATGGAGTACAGAAGCTTCCATGCTCTTTCTGAGCATGCCATGCCCCAAATCTTCACATGTTCACCAACCTGGAAGTTCTCTGAATCCCATAGGTAAGGAATTTTTATGGAGGCTTCACTATGTAGGCATGATTGATTAAATCATGGGCCTTCAGTGATTGACTCAATCTCCAGACTTCTCCCCGAGGTTAGGAAGTGGAGCTGAAAGTTCCAACCCTCTAATCACATGGTTGGTTCCCTTGGCAACAAGCCTCCCTCCTTAGGTTACTAAAGGTTTTCCAAAAGTTACCTTAGTAACATAAATGCAGTTGTAAAGAGAGGGTCTTGTTATGAATAGCAAGACACCCACTTTACCTTTATGTCTCTGAAATACTTCAGGAACTAAGGACAGAAGATCAACTTTTGTAACAAAAGATGCCCCTATGGCTTTTATATAGGAAATCACAAGAGTTTTAGGAGCTGTGTGTCTATCCACCGTGGATAGAGATCAAATATGCATTCCTTACTATAAATCAAGAGTATTGCACCATCTGCAATAGTTGTGACTTAAGCTGAATGGTCGACAAAAGCCTGGAAATACCTGTGATGGGGATAGGTGTATAAATGTTTGCAATGAAATACTTGCAATTGGGATGGTTGCATAAATTTGAATGTAATTAACATAATGCATGTTGACTGAAGTAAATCCTTATTGATACAGCTTTTTGTGCCTTTTCTCCCCTTTATAGACCATTGGAACGATCCAGTGAAGATGTGGATATAATATTCACAAGGCTGAAAGAAGTTAAAGCTTTTGAGAAATTTCACCCAAATCTCCTTCATCAGATTTGTTTATGTGGTTATTACGAGAATCTGGAAAAAGGAATAACATGTAAGAAATGTAACTCCAGTGGTGTATTTTCGTGTATGGTTTGTGATCATTTGTAGTTATCCCATGGAGATAGATTTCTTTGACTTTGTTCACAGCATGTAAATGTTCTTCCAGGGTAGCCTGGAAGATGGAACTGGAAGGATGTACTGATTCATATATTCAGCTAAATCCTTAGAAACTCAAATATTTTCTTTACCCCAAGAAATATGTGAGTCAGTAGGATATTAAATAAAGATAAAAGGACTCTTAATGAATGTTAATAGAAATGTTTTGAATCAACCTGAGTGATATCATCTATTTCAGGTGTGAATAATGGGCACAGAAAGAAAACAAGAGGGTGGCAACTGCATTAAAGTTTGTTTTTCATTAAAAAATAATGCTTTTCCATCTGTTGGGACACTTTTATGATACAATAACAGAAAGCTCCCACCCAACGGGCTTGAATATCAATTACTCCTATAAGGAGGGAAAAAATCAATTACTCATATTCAAGAAGTCTTGAGATAGGATGGCTTCAGAGTTGGTTAATTAAGTGACTTGAAGACATTACTAAGGTCACATGTCTCTCCCATTTTGTTTTTGTATATGTTTTGCTGTGCATCCTCAGGTGTTGGCTTTTGTTGTCAGACTTGACCCAAGTGATTCTAAGACAGCTATAGCAATTAGAGGCATTACATGTGTTAGGAGGGGAAAATTTCCCCTTACCCCTACTAGTTCTTTTGGCTGGGCTAATAAACTGACATAAGACAGACTAAGGGGAGAAAAAAAAATCAAATTAAATTTTATACATTATTCATACATATGGTCATCTCATAGGTATGGGACCTAAGAAGCAGGCTGTTTATATGCTTTTTAGATAAAGAAACAATAAGTTTGTGGAAAACCAACAAGACAAAGAAACTTAAACTTGGGTACTAATTAGTGAAGAAACTAAGCAGAGTTTGTTTATATAGCTTCTTGGCCCTGAATTCTCTGTCTGGTGATAATGATGTCTACATCTTGGTGCAGGAAGGGTTCCTTTCACATGGGAGACTTACTTCCTGCTCTCCAGGGGACAGAGAGGAGGGTCAGAGTGTCCTTGCACTGGCTGTTTCTCAAGTAACTTTGATTCAAAATAATCAATACACCACTTTGGCATATTTTGGGGTAACCTGCCCTGAGCCCCATCACATGACAATACAAAGATACCCTGCTGAAGGACTATTTCATCTTGTGTATATTTTCAGAAGTCCCCCAGCAGACTTCCTATTTCATTAGCCAGAATTGCATCACACACCTGCATCTAAACCAGTCACTGCCAAAGATAATGGGATCACCATGATTGATTTGGACCAATCATGATTACTCCACTGGAGCTAGGGAAGAAACTCTATGCTCTGAGCTCTTAGTCCTGTGGAGGAGGGTGGAAACTTGATAAAATCTATGTTAACTTAGGTAAGAGGAGGAGGGTGTACGATTCTGAGTGGGAGACCAACAGGGTCTGTCAAATATAATTGTAGAAAATTTGGAAGACAAGCAAGAGAAAAATCATGTACTATCCCCAAATGCAGAAATTGCTATTAACACTTTATATCCTTCAAGATGTCTTCCTACATTCCTACATGTGTACACACATAGTCATACTTATATTTAAAAGTCATCCATACATATTGTTTTCAAACCAATATATATTTTTTTCTTACTGACATCAGAAACTTCATTCTTTTGTGGATGAGACTCTTACTTTCTGTTTCTTAAGGCCATTTTCAATATGAATCTTCCATGATTCATTTTGTAATGTAAAATTGATTGGCAGGTGATGATGTCTTTTGGGGCCAAGAAGTTCATGAAAGGCAAAACCCTAACTCTAAACTAAGTCACTTACAAAGGCTAGGAATAGCAGAGTTACTGGAGAGGCCAGCTATAAACTCATCAGTCTCTCATCTTAAGCTTATTACTGCACCTGCGTGGGATGCCATTGTTCTTCTTGCCTTTTCACGGCATGTCCTGGGGAGTTTAGAGCAGCTTGTCATCATTATTGTGCTCCTAGAAGCTTGCTCTTATAGGCAGGGAGCACTAGCTCTGCCAGAATTCAACTGTCTCACTGGGTTGTCATGTGATTTTATATTGAGTCTCTTGATCTCTGACTCTAATTGTGAAAAGAATTTTAAAATATTAGGTCATTCAATCTATTTATTTAGCCAAGATATTTAAAAGGATAGTCAGATTTGTATGAGAGTTTTGAGCCAGTGTTTCAGAATGATTTTCCAAAGTACTGGTCTTAACATGATATGAGAACTAAGGTTCTCTCTAAATACCTAAATGTTTTCTCTCTCAGATTACCAAAGTGAAGCAAAATCAGGTTCAGAAATTTCTGATGAGAGTCATTTCCAAAGAGTAGTTAACTCTTAAGGCCTAAAAGCAATGAATTTATAAAACAAATAAGAAAAAGGACAGTGATAATACTGGTTAAAATTTTTAAAACAGATTTTATTTTTCTTACTCATTTATTGATGAGCTTAAAAGGGAACATTCTATTCTAAAAATACATTGCTTTTAATATAAGTAGATTTAGGAAATTGGGGTTGAAGACTAGTATTTTGTTGAATCAAATAACCTTGTTAGTATGTACCCCATCTAGAGTAATTACTTTCTAAGAATCATAATACTATGAAATATATTTAAGATAAATTACATAAAACATTAGTGAATTCTTCTTAAATTCAAAGGATCTTATAGCATTTAGGGTTATCATCCCTTATTACTACTCTATAAATATAAAAGAGTTCCCTTTAATAGAGTTCCACTTCATAGAATAAATAGGATATAGCTTTGTTGACAGAGGGGAAAAGAGAAATATGTCATGCTTTTATGGAAACAGATAGAGGAAAGGTGGAGAGCTTTGCTAGATCCAGGTCATGCTTATAATGACCAGTGGTCGTACGGTAAAACCAACTTATATTCGGTGTATTTACCTTACTGTTTCTTTTTCAGTATTTCGCCAGGGTGATATTGGAACAAACTGGTATGCTGTCCTGGCAGGGTCTTTGGATGTTAAAGTATCTGAGACCAGCAGTCACCAGGTAAGATAACATATTCTTTTTTTTTTTTTTTAAGTAGGATTTATAATTATTATTTTTACAGACACATTAGGTCTGCATCTTTTATGCCATCAAAATTACATTTTCAAACTCCTCTCCTCTTTCCATAGGAAGGAGTTAGACAAGTGTTTGTTGAATTCTTTTATTAAGTTACTCAACAAACATACATACTGCATGTCTCCCATGGTTTGAGAATGGTGACAGGTGTTGGAACATGAAGGGCAAGAACATGATGCCTGCCTTCCAGGAGCTTGCTATCTATTGGGAAATGCAAACGATTCAATTGCAATGTGATAAATTGCTGTTGCATAAATTGAAATGCGAGCAAAGGGGACAGAGAATCAAGTTTTTCTAGGTTTGTCCTCAGATCCTTCCTCCATCTGGTATCCTGACTTTTCTTTGTTGTCGAAGTGGTCCCCTCGTCAGCCTTGTAGGCACTGTAGTGATGCAGGGGAAGTGTGGTTGATGCACTCTCCCTATAAATCGTGCTCTCTTACTGTTTCTCTGCCTCATCTTATCAAATGTGGAAGGGCCAATAATATCTTTTCTTTCTAAAGTGTGGAACTTGCTTGCTTGATCTTCATTAGTGACCTCTGAGGAGCTTAGCATCCTAGTAGATAAAACTCATTTTGTCTCCTTTCTCCTTCCCCCCCCACAATATTTGTGACTATTTAAAATTGGACCCAAACTCATATCTGCAGTGAACCTTGCTCATCCTTATTCCATGGGGCCCAAATGTTTGGAGCCAAAACCTTGAATCTCAAAAGGACAGCCCCTAAAAGCCACCTTCAAGCTCAGTATGAAAATGGCACAAGCTTTCTATCTGCATATTCAGGATTCATATAAAAACTGCAGGAATGGAATTGGCTAATTGTAACATCAGAAAGAATTATCAAGAAAAATTTATAAATCAGTTAAAGGGACAAATACCCTGCAGCCAAATACCATGTTTAAGGCAGTGGTTCTGAGCCTTCTTCATATGTAACACACTTCAAATGTGAGAAACATTTATAATGCCCTAAATTTGAGATTTAAATTTGGTAGGAACATATGTGCATATTGAAGTTATGGGAAGCCAACCGTCTAAAAATGGAAAAGTATCCTAAAGATTGTTGGTAAAGTGGGCATTTGGAATTTGGAATATAGTTGCCAATGTTACTCCCATTGTTATGGATGGTTTCAGTCTCAGGCCAGTGCCCAAGTCCAAGTAACTTAGATACTTTTTCTGTGGATCACTGCATAGAAAGTCACATTAAAAACTGCCTGGGACCTGTGCCTTTCAAGCTTGTTGGGACGACCCCTCTTCTTCTCTCTCACAGAGCCAGTTTTCTCCTGGAGTTCAGAGGGCCGAGGTAAGAAGTGAGTTTTTTATTCTTGTAAGCTGCCTTAGTTTCTCAATGGAACTGAGAACAAGCTAGCATTTCTTGGGTATCTGCCATGTGCTGGGCGGTGTTCTAAGCACCTAATAGGTATTTATTTACTCCTTTATTCCTCACAACAACCCTATAGGGTAGGTCATATTACTGTTCTTGTTTTATGGGTAAGGAAGTAAGGCCCTGACTGGTTAAATAACTTGCCCCAAATAACAACCTAGAAATTAGGGGAATCAAGATTCAGACCCAAGAAGTCAGTCACCTGAACATAGCCTCTCAGGCACTACTCTGTGCTTTTGACTCAAAAGAAATGTGGTGACTCCCGCACCTTCCCTCTCTCTGCTATTTGTCATCTTTTCAGATTTCACATGTCTCTTTGCACACACCTTCCACCTGCAGACTGCTGTCCTGGTGGGGACCCTTGGGCTCCTTGCTCAGAGCTGTTCCTGATGCTCACTGTAGCCAGGTCTCACCTGTGTGGAGGTGTGGAGGGGACAGGACCTAGTAGAGGATGGTTCTTCTCACTCCTCTGGGTGGTCCTGAATGAGTGATGATGGAGAGAGGGGAGGAACTGAAAAAAGAAGGTGAGGAAAGAGAGGAAAGGGGGGGAAGATGAGAATTAAAGGGGAGAAAAGGGAGAAGGGAAGAAAAACACAGGGAAGAAAGAGAAGAAGAAGAAAGGCAGAGCAGATGTACCTAAGGGATGGTAAATAACATCAGCATGGATGTGCTGAGACATCAAATGTTCAAAGCTGGCCTGATATTTTGATGGTATTAAAATAGGATTTGGCCAGGGGCTCCTGGAATATAGCCCTGGACCAATTCTCTCTCACCACGGGGTCCAAGCAGAGAATAGCTGAGTAACACTTTGTTATTAGCTGTGGGGTTTTTAAAATCTTAACAAACCTTTAACTTCAGCTGTAGTTTTGACCTCAAACCCATGCCAAGAACTTTCCTAAGCTGAGCTTGGTCTTGTCTTAAGTTGTTAGGAATTTTAGCTTTATATCAAAGCTGGCTTACTGCCTCCTCTGTGTACATCACCCACATTGTCCAACCAGGGTTTTCTGGACTGATTTACATCACTAAGCTATATAGATGAGAAAGCTCATTGACTTCTATATCTTCCAACCCTCCAGAGAGGAGTCTGAGAAACACAGAGGGCCCAGCCATCCAGCCAGCTCAGACCGTCACCTGCAGAACATGGTTGCCACCCCCTGGGAGGAAGAAGCTAAAGAGAATGAGCAAGATGGCTGAATCTCCTCCCGTGGCAAGCTGTTTGACAGGCAGAAACAAAAAAGCCATTTCCACCTGTGCTGGCCTTGTAATGGGCTCTGGATCTCTGCCCACTAGTGACGTGGCCAAATCAGGGTGATGAGTTAGCCAATCAGAATAGTACTGTCTCTAAGTCAGAGTTCTCCAGAGAAATAGAACAAATAGAAGATGGATGGATAGATGATACATAGATAGATAGATAGATAGATAGATAGATAGATAGATAGATAGATAGATATTTTAAGGAATTGACTTATATGATTATGGGGGCTGGTAAGTTTGAAATCCATATGGTGCAGGGTGAAGAGCAGGCAAAACTTGATGCTGCAGTCTTGAGTCTGAAAGCTGGAAACCCAGGCAAAATTCCTGTGTTGCAATCTGGAAGCAGAATTCCATCTTCTTTGGGAAACCTCAAGGGAAACATGTTTGCTCTTAAGTAAGTCCTTTGATTGGATGAAACCGACCCACATTATGGAGGATAATCTGCTTTGCTTAAAGTCTCCTGATTGTAAATGTTAAACAGTATCTTTAGATTACAACAAAATGTAGGCTAATGTTTGACTAAGCAACTGGTTATCCTGGTTAAGCCAAGTTGACCATAAAATTAACCATCAGCTACCCCAATGGGGACTGAAATGAGCTTGGGCCATGGGAAGAGAAGCAAGGGAAGGCCTACAATTGCTACCCCTAGAGACCGGCAGCAACTTTGCTAAGTGCTTTCATTGTAGCTTACTTGCTAGGGATTCTGTGTGCATCATCTTTAGGCATTCATGCCCTATTTCACAACTGGGCTTGAAAACAAGGCTCAGCGACATTAGGTGTAACTTTCCCCGGGCCACACAAATGTACGTGGCCAAATGAAGACTTAAATTCAGGTCTGACATACTCCAAATTTCATGTTCTTCCTGTTGTTCACACAGGAAAAACGGTAAGCAGGGCAGGAAAAGAAAAAGAAGAAAAGTTAAAAGAGACTAAGAGCGAATTAAGGAAAGAGAAAAGAGGTAACAGCACAGAAGAGTGAAATCTTTAAGTGAGTAGGGCTGTTGCTAGCCTGCCCCTCCATTTTCATTCAAGTCTCTCCCTGACCTGTGTGCCTTTCTTCTCATCTGAGAGTCAGAAGTCAGAGATGGTAGTGATAAATTCCCAAACTTATCTCTGAGTTTCAGAGATACCCTCTACCACCCTCAGTGGGGTGTTAGTTGAGCGGGAATGGTGGAAATAAGAGCAGACGTAGATCATGGTAATGGAGCGCCCACTACAGGTAGCTGTGTGAAAAGCACTTTTCATGCATTATTTCATTGGCTACTCAACTACAGGGCCCTTCCTCGATTAGTGCTATTATTAGTGTCATTTTACAGGTAGATGCTAAATAAAGATCACACAGCCATTAGGTATCAGAGGAGTTCTTTGTGGTTCTGGGGCTCAAGTTCTTGACTATTACGGTTGTACAGGTGCCAACCAGAAGTAATAATGAATGTGGGGAGAAGCTTTTCCCCTATAGCTCCCGAAACTACCTGCCCAATTCCAGCTAGGAGCTCCACACGTCTTACCTCCAAGCCCATCTTGCAGGAGTTTGCTCCACCTTAGACAAGCTCTGCTGGGATGCGGGGCCCTCTTTACACCACCTTTTAGATCATCAGTTAGCATGGCCCATCTCTTCAAAAAGGTTTCTGGGTTTGAGGGTGGGATGGATACGTATGGATGCTAAGGGAGGGAGATTAAGGCCCTATGTACAAGGTGGAGGTGACAGGATTGGAGTTTGTGTTGATGGGATGTATGGGGGCTGAGGGAAAGTGGGGATCCTGACTCAGAGGAAGAGGTAGGTGGTGATGCCAGTAATTGAAATAAGGAGCAATAAGAAAGAAAACCCTTCACAGATTCTGATATAGTATTTTTATGTCATACATTTATTAGGCATTATTGATTTGATGGAATTTTTTTTCTGAACAAAATCACCCTATTTCTTTTATATGGCAATAGGAAGATAAAACTACACATAAATTTGAAGAATACAAAGAGCACAAATACTTTATTTGGCCCATAAATTTATATTACCTTTCTGCCTGCTTTAATATAATACTACTTTTTCTCCTTTTCCATCATTCCCTTATACTTTTTTGCTCACTAGGTTAAAAAAACACAGCTTCTTGCCTTCTTTATGATTGGTTTGCCAGATTCTTCTTGAATTCTTTGGACTGTATGTTGAGGGTCATACTTACTTCTCATTGGTGACATGCTAGAAGCATAGTGGTAGTAACTCTCAGCATTTAGAAAGCATTTCACTTTACATTGTTTTGTTTGAGCCACCCTAGTAGGCAGACCCAACTGTGTTGTATC